ACAGACATGTTGTATAACTAAGGATAATAAACACCTCGGGAAGAACTATGCGGACAGGGCTGGCTGCATGCTCCACTAGTAGCCACACTCCAAACATAAACACTACTGCCAGAAGCACTCAAGGCCAGGAATTCAATAAGACTAGGAATGCGCACGTGCCTATTTGACCTCGCGCCTGCCAGCCAATGCGTAAACAAGCCGCTCGTGCACGCGCTCTACTGACTGCGCGCGAAGCCAGACTTCCTACGAATCTGCGTGCACGGCGGAAGCTAGACTTTAGGAATGACGGAAGTTACACTTCCTTTTGGTGACTAATTGACATTCTTAAGTGTGACTAATTGACGACGCACGTACGCATATCGCGAGAATACAACCCGGAGTAGTTGCCTCACGCTAACGCGCTCGGCAACAAGGGACGCATTTCTTTAACCACTAGAGTAGGATTTCCTCAAGTCTCAAGTGTCCTCTAGTACTATAGCTAGTATGCCTTCTGTGCAATATTATAGCCCCCAACTGAGGAGTGTGTGTTTGGCTGACCAATGGACTGACGGGCAAACTACTGCCAACACTGCAAGGCAGGACGGCTGACTGGGGGCATACACTCACTAAATACTAGTGTGCCTCACTCCAAAAAGAGGGCAAGTTTGTTACTATTTCTGCCAGGAATTCAAAAGTAGTGCAGGACAAGAGCAATTTTTGCCTTTTGTGAGCAAAATATCGAAACGCCTGCGAATTAAGTATTACTAGCTGCTAGTACTAGATCATCTTTAGCTCCTCGCAATAAGCATGTGTGTCTAGCTCCACAACCGGACTGGCAAACAACCAGTGTATAATGCAGCAGTACATCAGCTGAGTGGGTAGGACAAGTAGCGATCTGCCGAATGCAACCTAAACATAGTCTCAGAAACTTTCGTTTGGGAGGTCGTATGGTGATAAAATGCGGTTTTTGATCTCATAGTTCAATGAAATCAGGAGGACTACAGTGTAATAATTAACCTAAAGCAAAAATTACGTGTGTTACCAAATCAATAAACTATTCAGTAGTTATGAGGCCCATCTTACACAGCGTGGAATGTGCAGTGTTCATGTTACAGGCATTTATGCTCTGTACCAACAATGCAAGCCCATCCCACATAATAGACAGTACAACACACCCCCTGTTAATAATTTCCTAAACAGAAATACTTGTGTATATAGTCTGCCCTACAAGGACTTGCATAGATCAGTAATGTGTACGAATGTTACCAGTATCTATGATCTGCTGAAGATAGAGAAGTCATTTCCAATGAAGGTCTGGTTAAATTGTCAACAAACTGCAGGAACTATGTACATGGGAGAGAGAGGGAGAGAGAGAGAGAGAGAGAGAGAGAGAGAGAGAGGGTAGATAGAGGAAGGGAAATAGTATGTGGAATTGGACATTACTTTAGCTACTGCATAGAGGCAACATTGACAAGTCCTACAATGTGACAGTCAAAATGTTCAAGGGAAACAGACATGATGTACAAACAATAGGGTACATACCTCCTCTTCATCCACATTCCAATTGCCGACAATAAATCTTAGTACCAAGTTTCTTTAACTCCACCACCTGTGGGAATTAAGGGTGGACTCACAATCACCACAGAGCCTATGGCCGACACAACAACGTAATGGATTGGGGGCCGACAGCAATTATATACCACAAACAATGCTGTGTAGTTGCAGCTTGTCCTAAAGAGCAATGTACTAGCTTTGCCAAAATGCTCGTAGCTATTTACGTATTGTACAAGTGTGGAGGCTGTTACTTAATATAACGTGAATGTTGTAAACAGGTGGCTGTATAGTGAGTGTGTTTCGATCTAACCCTTGAAAATATTGCCGTCCACAGTCCGTCGGTGACCACCAGGAACCACTTTGACAGAGTCACTTTATTAGAGATCTGAGTCAGAGCCTAGTGGATCAACAGGAGGAGGACACAGAGGGTTAAACCAGGAGGACACAGAGGGTTAAGTAAACCAGGGACACAGAGGGTTTTAAAGCAGGAAACACAGAGGGTGATGAACCTATGAGGAAAGAGGTGTAACTAGAGAAAGGACAGAGTTAAGCAGGAAAACACAGAGGGAACTAGAAACGAGGTTACTAGAAGAAAGAGGACACAGAGGGTTAATTAAACCAGGACACAGAGGGTGTTAAAGAGGAAAACACAGAGGGTGAAACTATGAGGAAACAGAGAGTTAACTAGGAAGAAGAGGACACAGAGGGTTTTCAAACAAGAGGACACAGTGTTTTAATAAACAAGTGGAGAAAGAGGGTTAAAACAGGGGGACATACCAGGAGGGCACAGTGTTAAACCAGGGGATACTAAGGGTTAAACAGGAAAGACACAAAAACGGTGTGAGAGTGGTGTAAGTGTCAGTAGTGTGTGTCTTGTACCTCATCAATGGCAGCAGGGAGATCAGTTCCAATTCCATGTGCCACATGCGCTATGATCTCTATATGCCCTCTTTATGCTTCCCTGAAAACAAATCAGTAACAGTCTAGCAGAGTCGATGAAGGCAGGTAAAGCGACTGCAATGTGGTATGCAGACTGTTTGCTGTTCGTATTGCATGTTGTTATGATGTCATCTGTCGTCACCAAACATCACCGCCACCAGTATGGTCGGAATATGCATGACATCACTAGATAGTTATACACTCTGCCTTCCCTTGTGTCAAACACGGACAGGACGTACAAGTAGGCGCTATTCTATTCTCCCAGAAAACAGTATATCTACATACCGAAGAAAGAGAACTTAGTGCTATACTATCACAAGACTACGACGTGAACAGTACTACCAAATGCGTATGTATAATTATGTACACTTCTCAAAACAGTGAATGGCACTGTTTGATTGGCTATGTACACATGTGCGCATACTAGACACATAACTGCAGTGTACAGTCCATGGCCCTACATAATGTAGACACACACTTTGTTCTGAGGTAAAGTAACACACTTGTGTTGACTACACTGTTGGGGTACTGAGTCACCAATGAAAGAGAGCATCCTCCCCACCACCTTGTACACTCACTTATTGCTAACACAGACAGTCGTATTTGGGCACAGGTCTACCAGAGCTCAAGTGGCAGAGGCCTCCAAGAGCTATTGCCAACATTCCACCGCTACTCTGGGATTGCACATGACAGACAATCAAAACAAACAACTCTGCCTGACCTTATCTAGACCATCTTATCTATACCAAATAATTATAGGCATCTATATATACCAAACAGGCTACGAAATTCATAGAGAAATGTACAAAAATTCTAGATCCTTATGGTAAGAGGCTGTAGCTATGTGCTAAATCACCCAATCTTGCAGCTACTACAAAATTCTATCTATACCTTTAGCAAATCTGTCTCAGCGATCGGGAGTACAGATGGCACCCCAACCATTACTGCAACATCCACCTCGGTCGTAGTAGGCGTCTATACCAGCCAAGACCCAAACATGCCTGGGTAGCACACTAGTCCAGTGCATTATACCACCGTAACCAAACCTTACAGCACGAGTCGCTGAGTGCATTATACACGCAACCAACCATTACACACAGCTCCTAGTGCATTATATACCACCAACCACCCTACACACAGTCCTTGTAGTGCATATTCCAGACCACCAACCTTACACACAGTCACCTAGTGCATTCTATGCACACAGACCTGACGCCAACCTACACAGCAGTCCTAGTGCATATATACCACCGACAGACCAAGTTACACACGCGTCCTAGTGCCTCTATGCACAACCAACCTTACACAGGACAGTGCTTAGTGCCATTTATCGACCAGCCAGACCTTACACACAGTCCTAGATGCTTAGTACCACCAACACAGTCTTACACACAGATCTAGTGCATATATACCACCAACCAACCTTACGGACACAGTACCCTAGTGCCTTATACCACCACCAACCTTACCACACAGTCCTAGTGCATTATACACCCAACCAACCTTAACACACAGTCCTAGTGCATTATACCACCAACCAACCTTACACACAGTCCTAGTGCATTATCCACCAACCAACCTTACACACAGTCTAGTGCATTATACCACCAACCAACCTTACACACAGGGTGGTGCATCTACTATCATACATACAATGTCAGACCATGTTCCAGCAGTAGTATAATTATAATACATGGAGCTGACCTGTCTTGGGTGGTGTCAATGGAGATGCAGTGGACGTATTCGTCGAACGTGATAATCTCAGCCGGAAATCAGGACTGCAGCACAAAGACAAACAACATTCAGTTGGAAATAACGTACACGCACAATATAATGGGCAAAAACACTGCCACCTTGTACATTCGCTCTCAGATACAATTTGTAGGGCAAAAATGTGACAGCGTACTAAAATAGACGGTGCAGTGTCTCCAGTGAGTTACCAGAGCACAGTATACCCCCTCTAGCTACTGGCTGCGATGGAACAGTGAACAGAAGAAGGTCTTACTGACAAAGTGGTTTGCGACGTCTGCCACGAACGGCACCACCGAATCTTTGTAGTGGTCCGCCAGACTGAGCGAGCTGGTGGACACAAACAGCACGACAAAAGAATCACCCAGATCGCTACAGTAGTATCGACACACATGGCTAGCTGTAATTAGATGCGCAAATTACACTACCAAACGAGGTACAAGAACGTAGGATCGGGTAGTTGAGCATGAGAGGTGCGCTGACCTGTCAACGACGAAGATGAAGTCGAAAGCCTCCAGAACATGACGAGGAAGATGAGTCCAAACTGGACACAGAGAGCAGGAGACTGCCAACGCTACAACGTAGAGCAGCCTCATAGTTAGGGATTTTAGAACACTTGCTTTCCCGCCTCGTCCAATTCCTGCTCCGTTACTGACTCTCTTTAGTTTACTAACAACTACTTTCTCTGTTCCACACGGTCGCTTTATACACAGGTAATTTTTCTCGTGGGTGTGCGTGTGCGCTGACACTGCGCGCATGCGCTCTTACGCCACCAAGTCGAGAGGGCGGGGCTGGTTAGGTTGCACACGAAACACCCAGCTACGCTGGCTAGAGATCATGGCTCTGCAAACACAGTACAGTCGCAGCAGGAGTGCCAGAAATCGCAGTACCGGCAACCAGAAGAAAGGTAGCGGTACCGACTTGCACGAGATGTCCCGGAACAAGACGAGCGTCACTGAGTTTGCGGCTGAGCATTCCCTCCGAGCCAAGTCGGAGGTAGGCGTGGAGCAGGCGAGACGAGAGGCGAAGGGTGACGGGAGGAAACAGGCCTGGGCTCCACCGAAGAGGCAGGGTCTGAGCAGTAACTCGGCCAGGTCCCAGCGAGACCCTTTGCGGACTCTGCCACCACACCCCAGTAGTGGAGCCTCTTCCTCAGGAACCAAGGTGTATATAGTACACAGTTAGAGCCTTCTGTGGTCACAAGCACTATGACAATGACTTGTCCCTCAGTCCAGAGGTGCTGTCCATCTAGAGCAACTGGACAAGCTGAGGGAAATCTTTGACGTATGTATATACCATCAGTGCATGTTATTTCACTTGTATAGCTACGAACCATCAGTGAATGTGTGCGTGCGTGAATCACGGGGTCATTGTATGTTGAAGGCGAACGCACATCAACAAAACATAGGACTGAGACACCAACCCCTGAAACTCTCTTAAAGTGTGCTATCATAATTTGGTGGCAGTTGTTTATTTTTAAATGCTCATCCTCCTTCTACAACAGGAAGCTACCAGAAGCGGAGATGGAAAATTGGACGAAGAAGAATTCCTGAGAGCCTGTAGGAATGTCTTTGGAGAAGAGGCTATGGTAGGACCAGAGCAATTATTGTGGGTGTATAATTATAGACTGAATTATAGTCAACAACACACGAGGAACAGATGAGGACCGTTTTCAAGAAGATTGACAACCTTTCTAATGACACCATCAGCTGGGTAAGCTTCAAATAGAAAACATGGTTTGTGAAATAACCCTTGTTGTTCATGTAGGCAGTTAATGCATGGCACAAAGTATGTCATGTTATTGATCGACCATTTTTCCATAATGGTAGTTACACATCTACTGTCTTAAATCTCTGCTATTTTGAGGCTCCTGCTTGATTCAGTTTTACAGCTATAATTATTATGGCCCTGGGTATAAGGCAGGTACAGCTACACGAAGCTGGTCAATATTAAGGATTGTTTTCTCAGAGCCGATTTCTTCAGTTTTGTTATCTCTGGTATCCAGGATGACTTTTGCTCCTTTCTCTACCTGGAGTACCATGAGAGAGACAGTGCTGAAGCAAGAGCCAAGAAGGTCTGCAAGTGAATACAGTAAAACCTCTGAACGAGGGACACTATATATGACAAGGGACACGTGTAGTGCATGTGTGGGCCTTACGCATGATAACTTCTTTCACAAGTGCTGATTGTTGTGTACAGGTGGATTTCCATACCCCGGCAATAATAACGAAGGGGAGCCCCCATCATGGTTCAGTGTGTGCTGTGCAGCATACCAGTGATGGAGGTCTGGTCACATGTAGTGAGGTAAGGTGACAGACATTCCTACAGACGGGCAGCATATATACTAAGATCTGTTTGATGGTACAGGAAGGAACAGTGTGCTTCTGGTCACAAGAGCTTGAACTAAAACGAACCAAACCAGTCAGTGTGCACTGTTAAGTGATTGTGATTGGTCACTGTGTCCGTGTAGCTGACTGAAATTGATGTGAAGCAGAGAGAAAAACCCAAGTGGATATCAGACATGGTTCTCTCTCTCCCACACAAGAAGATAATCCTAGCTACAGGGTACATACACTGCCGACTCTTTTTTTACAACATTGCTTGTGTCTAGGGTCTAGTCTCATGAATCGGATCGTAGTTTCCTTCATGATATTTCTGCCCATGGGTAAAGTGGTGCAGTGTGTCCTGACGTATTCTTCCTCCCCCTCCCACAAACATAACATTATTGCTGGTTTACGACAGTACCCATATGGTCTCTGTTTCTGTGCAGAGACTGTGAGCTGCAGTTCTTTGAGATGGTCAACTTTGAACCCTATTGCCAGCTCAGCAGACTGGAGTCAATTCCTCTTAAAATTGTTTGTTGGTGAGCTCGACAAATCAATGTGTATAGTATTTACTGTCTTCTGGACCATAGATATCGAAGTCTCTAATAATAATGATTATACTTCTTGCAATCTTCATTAGGCATGATCCAGAAGATGAAGTGAAGACGGTGATACTCCTTGGTGATAAAGATGTTAGGCTGTGTTCAGTATAGACAAACTCTGTCTTTATCTCTCCTTGCTCTTCAGGGTGCCGTGACTGTCATGATAACAGACAACATTCTGAATGCTTTCACGTTAGCCATTCAGACATGCAAATCTTTCCAAGAATATCACACTCGCTCGTAACTTTAGGGATTGGAAATCTGGTCCAAAGCTGGAAGGCCTGCCAACCTACTCCCTGTACAAGTATGTATTAACTGCTCCTCCTTAATCACACACTAATTGGCTGTCATTGTGCATGCACATTATACATAGGTTACTATCTAACAGTGAGAGTGGAGTCAAGTGCTACAGGTAATGTGTCGTAATGTGTGCAAACAATTTGGAGTAGCGACTATGGTATTATGTTGTCCAATAGGTGGAAACTTCACTCCAGCTGGGTGACTGAAGTGAGTCATGAAAACCTGAGCAGTTCTGTCTCAGAATAGCTATATAATCTTACTGTGTTCATAATTTCTTACAGCTGCACTACTTCCCCAAGCTGCTGATGTTTGGCTCCTGCTCTCTAGACCCTTCAGCCAGTTTTGTACTGGGTCAGTCATAAGCCCCGTTTACATAGTGGAAATCGTGGTTTACACATGTTATGCTAATCCACTAACACACTAGTTCATCCGCTTATATATTATAATCCACCCCCCAAAGTAGGATTAACTAATCTGAACCGTAATCCCGGTTGGACCATTTACATGCCACCTTTCCAATAAGAGCTATATAAGCTGGATATGCTAATAATTCACGAAGGCACTAGCAAATTTGCTTCTAATTCACCCTCCACAGTAGAATTAACAAATCCAAACTGTAATCCAGGTAGGAGAGTTTACATGCCACCTTAAATTAATGAGCTAAACTCGATTTAAGCATCTGGATTAAAATTGGCACGTAAAGTACAATGTTACTCCCACCCCCTACATACACCATGGTAAATCTCACCTCCAGTTTTTAAAGGCTACATTATCTAATACAACCAGACTAGTGAAACTCAACTGTCTAGCTAAAATATTGAACCGGTATTCTTGTTGGTGTCTGTAACAGGTGTCCTCTCACCAAGTACAGAGGTGGACTCATATCTCCGGCAGACGTCGAGTGCCACCAGAGGAGCCAAGAGGAGTTTGCTGCCTGCTAGAAGGTTCATGTCATGTGACCAGAGGGTGTTCAGGATGGCCAAGGGAGTCTCGTCGGCCGACTACTGCTCCAGACACAACGTCCTGGTGACTGGTAGTGCTGACAGATTTGTCCGAGTGTGGAACCCCTTTATGACCTCGTCAGTTCCCAATAGCTACCTAACTTTTTTCAATCAAATTAATATATAATACCCTTATCAGCTATCCGTGTCAGCACTTACATGCTTACATCACTCATGCATAATACCCGTAACATATTATGCGACCAAACTCTTCTACATGCAAGTTTCTCCCTTGAATGAGTTTAGCAAGTGCCAGCTTTTCCCCTCTTGTTTCATCCCTTAACTCTAAAACACAGTTACAGTTTTAGGACAATTATTGTGCATAGCACAGAGGCCATTGGTGGCCACTTTCATACCTTGTAGTAATGAATTGTACTTACTACTTCACAGGAAGCCAGTTGGTACACTGGAGGGACACACTGCTCCAGTCTTCTTTGTAAAGGCTGACTCAGCAAACAGCCGACTCTTTAGCATTGGGAACGACAACACCATAATGGTTAGACCAGCAACACTATAGCAGCAATGAAACTGATGTATCCCACATTCTCTCACACAGGTCTGGGACATTCTTGAATTCACTTGCCTCAATTCTGTGTTTCCAAGTGTACACAAATTCTCAGTTCCAACCCAAGGTATACCTACCATACTCAGGGTAACTACAGCAACACCTCGACACTTTGGGGACACCAAAAGTGTCTTATTCAGAGAGGTCCCTTAAAGATTACTAAACACATAATTATTATGTATTTGGTCAGAGCCAGGTTGTCTTTACATTTCCGTATCATTAAGGCATATTCACGGCAATCTTTTCGTTATGGAAAATTAAATGTAGGAAAGGTAAAGAAATAATGATATTAGGGAAAGGTATGGAAAGACGGCCATTTGTGTGACCTGAAATTTATAGAAAATCTTGTTTTCGTCCAATGAGAGGTGTCCTTTTTCAGAGGTTTCATTCCCTTCTCTGTTGTTATTGCTATTGTGTATGCCAAGGAAGAAAGTTCTTGTCTTCCTACTGACAGCTGCTCACTACAATGACGTTGGCCAGGAGGTGGTACTGGCAACAGATGAGGTGGGTGTGATCAAGCTGGTCCAGCCAGTGGGAGTGAGACAGGACATGGTACAGACCCACCTCAGCCCCGTGGCCGGAGTGGCCTTCTCTCCCTGCTTCAACCACCTCATTACTGCCTCCAGAGATGGGGTCAGTCCCTCATAATTATGAACTTAATTTTTGTGACGTATGATTGTTTCGTTGCAGGTGGTTAAAGTATGGGCTATGGAGACTGGTAAGAAGGAATTTGAGTTCTCAGTTGGCAGATGTGGTGTGAGTGCAATGGCAGTGGATAAGACTGGGAAAAGGCAAGGTTTTTATTACTCACAGGCAAAGAGATGTTATTGTCTATGATGGTGCAGGATTGTGACTGGTAGTTCAAATGGGCAGCTGAAGTGTGGAGCTATAACAGCGGAGAGTGCCTCAAGACACTCGACAAAGGTCCGGAGGGACACTATATAGAGATGTCATCCTGTATGTTGGGATTTGATTTCTCACAGAGAACCGGAAAGAGGTGGCCAGGGCAAGATTTGTCTCTGTCAATCAGTGCAAGTATAAATGAAGAGTTGTAGAGAGGTTTAGGTTTAGACTGGCTTGATTTTGACGTATTTTCAGGTATATTGTTGCTGCTGGTTGGGACAAGAAATTCACAATTTTTCCTGTAAGTCAAATCCACCACAGTTAGCTTGGTAGCAGAGCCATCTCTAATTCACTTTAGGATGTGGTGGATACAATTCAGGAGGTATATAAACCAATGAGAGCTGGGAGCACTACTTCGGTATACACGTAGTGCTGTACTCTAATGTGTGTTGGTAACATCATTATTATTTTTCCTTCAGGATTATGTACACGAAACAGACATTCTTGCTCTTGCATATGGTGCACCACATTTTCTGGCAACAGCAAGCTTCTGTGGGAAGGTTAGCTTTTGTCTTCGCGTGTGTAGTTGTACTACATGTTATGATATATTATGCAATGGTGACAGATTGTGGTGTGGAGTCTGATATCGTTTGGCGTCTTCAATGAGCTAAAGGCAGAATACCCCACATCTGCCAGGCATCCTCCATCTGAATGTAAGTCATACATGCTATCATGAAATAAATACGGTACATTTATATGAAATTTTGTTCTAATCGTTCAATATCATGCTGGTGGAAGAATGTAAGTCATGCATGCAATCAAATGTTATCTAACATGAATTACTTATGGTATCTATTAATCGTCTATGTTACATGTACCTGTGCACGTTATAATCATTCCATATCATGTTATAGTGGAAGGGGATAAGGCAGTGCAGGATTTAGTGTTCCTGGAGCAGAGAACTAAGTCCAAGAACTCAGCCAGTCTGGTGGCCAGTGGACCTACTGGTAGGCCAACGCCTCCACTGCAATGAACGGCACTCTGCTTCATGCCATGCATACCCTCCTCAGGTTACATACACTTTTGGAATATCTATGATGCTTCAAAGCCAATGGCTTGCTTCCGTGCTGTAAGTTCAGTCATTGGGCAGAGTTTGCAGAGTTTAAATAACTATTCCATGTGAACAGTATAGCAATAATAATTATATCCCTTTTAGTCAAAATTCAACTGTGTGACATCACTGGCGGTCGATGAGAACAATATCTTACTACTTAGTGGGGACATTGAGGGTATTTAACGATACTGTAGCAGATGACAACGACGGTATATAATTGTCTTCTCATCACTTATAATAGGCTACTTATCGCTGTGGAAGATTGAGGGCTACTGTACTGGTATGAGCACAAAGGTCCCACCGAAACGTAAAGAGCAATGTTACTGATTTAATGTTAATGAGGATGCCATCTCTTGTTTGTTTGTAAAGGTGCTGCAGTGTGGAGAGCTCATGCACAGAGAATAACGCAGTGAGCTACTTCTCTACTGAGACAATGAACAAAAGCGACAAAGTTTTCTTCTACTAGACTGCTGCTTGTGGAACAGTGGAACACTGTTATCAGTGCATCTGTGGATACTTCTGTTCGTGTGTGGACACTGGAAGGAAACGTTATTGGTAATGCTGCAAGCTACATTATTATGTTTGAGAGAAATGCGTAAATTGATACCTCCTTTTGTTACTCCCATACTCTATGGTCCACATTTAGGGACATTTGGCCAGGAGAAACCGTGGACTCTTGGAGTACCGACAACCTACCAACATCCCCTCAAATCCAGAGACCTCCTGTTGGCCACAGAGGCTGTGGTGACTCCTTCCCTCCCGTCATCTGACAGGAGTGGTGCTGAGTCAGGAGGAGGCAGGGAGTCTTCTGGGAAGAAGTCGCAGTCCAGAAAGCTGCGGGCTGCTGTACATGCAGTACAGGCTGTGTTGACCGTTACGGAAATGGAGGATGAAGTGAGAACACTAGCATCGTGTATGTCTATCACAACTGTTTAAATTTTCACCCATAGGAGATAAACGAGGACTTGCTGAAGTCATATGGTATGAGTCTGGGTGTCCAAAGGTAATCTTATCAGTTTACGGGTAACATTATTACTATCTACATTTTTAATGTTAGCTCTACTGAACAAATCCAAGAGAGTAAAGAGTGTGGAAAGTGGTATGCTTATAGTAGCGTTAATCCTCACTGAATGCTTGATCTTGTGGCAGGCTACGTCACCACAGGACTCAGTCAGCTAGGCCAAGAAAGTCGGCTGGTCATCAGAAGGTGTACAGACTGCTACCATACCAGACACTGGACCCCGAGCCTGACTTTCGCAACACCTGGAGACAGCAATAGCCATAATAGTTCTTTGTATAAAGTGATTGTGATATGTGATTGAATTGCAAATCTTTGAAGACAGTGCAGAACATGCAATAGCGAAAAGGAGCATCCTTGGAAACAACCCATTGTAATTGGAAAACGGCAGAAGTGGAATGACAGCGAGCAAGCGCCCACAATGACGTAGCAGTGCAGAAGCACGCGCGAAGCGCCCGAATCGCTCGCAAGCCGTAAAAATAAATAGCAGCGCCCGTCGTTCTATACCGCGTAGAACTCATACTTAAAAACAAACTGTTCTTAGTGCCTGAAGTGTTTAACCATTTTCACACTATTATAAATTAACCCTCATGGCATTCCTCAACTGCTTAGGACGAATGCCACCTTTTGTGTGTTTGTCCAAAGTATGTCAATCAGGCAACAAAAGGAAATCACTATTAGTATCGCAGCAGAACAAAAAATTGTACTAAGCCTTGCTGGTCACCAACAACTGATCTAAATCTTCCCTTATCTTTAGTCACTCATAGTTTAATAGTACATCGGTGACCAGTCAACTAAGAGCTAGTCTTTGAAGGTGGGCTCTAAGAAGGACGATACTGTAACAGGAGACTCTGACGAGTTTAACTCCGGTGTTTAGTCTCCTAATATGGACTGCTTATTATCCGTGATTATAAAGAAGACATAACCTGCGATATATTAAATAGCAGTAAATAAATATAGTTACAAGTGGCATGCCATGTCCACTACTGAGAATAGTGAAATGTTAATTGGTTATGTTTTCATTATTTGTTTGTAAATCTAGCCCTTGCATTTTGGTTACATCTAGCTATGTACAAAAGTTCAGTACAAACATCTACAAGCTATAGCTACAGTTTTGAAGATTTGTGAAGAAGAAGCAGCAAACTCCAAAACAATCACGATGCGATCTTCCCCGAATGCTTCCCCCCAGACTGCAACAGCGCAATCTTGGATGTGCGGATTCTGCACTCTTAGAATAACTCCTCCACTGCATGATCCCCTCCGGTAACCAAAACCTGTGTTGAGAGAGGTGAGAGAGAACAACAATTGGGGGGAAGGTAGCTAGACAAATAGGTTTCTTACCGTTTGTTGCTGACTATCCACCATTGTCAAGAGTCACAGCCAGGAACTGAACTGTGTCTTTCATACTTTTAGTGAGGTGAGGATGAACCTCGCAAAAACATTAATTTGATCAAGTATGAAGTGCCGTGTGGACAGATTCAGATGATGTTTATAGTGAAAGAGTGGCTGTCCAGGAGTGAATGTGGACCCTTGGAGTACTGACGACCTACCAACATCCCCTCAAATCCAGAGACCTCCTGTTGGCCACTGAGCCTGTGGTGACTTCTTCCCTCCCGTCATCTGACTGGAGCGGTGCTGAGTCAGGAGGAGTCTTCTGGGAGGAAGTCACAGTCCAGGAAGCTGCGGGCTGCTGTACATGCAGTAAAGACTGTGTTGATTGTTACAGAAATGAGACCACTATCTGTATCGAAAAACCTGAAAGCATATTGATGGTTTAGACGGCATAAGTCTCAATATTCAAAGGTATACTTCATGTGCACATGCATTCAGAGTCCTTCTTCACTTCAGTGAGCATATCAAAGATAGCAAACAGTGTTGAAAGTGGGACGATCTGCAACAGTTGATACTTGTACTAACTGTCAGGTTACTCACTACATAAGTGGTTGAGTGGTTCAGGTTGTATCACCACAGGACTCAGTCACTCAGCTAGGCCCAAAAGGTTGGCTGGTCGTCAGAAAGTGTACATAATTATTGTTACCATACCAGACACTGTGCCCAGAGCCCGACTTTTATTTATGGACAGAGATTACCTTCCCAGGTCCTAAAAACAATAAGAAGAGACCAACTTTAAACTATTAGGACAAGAATTACCTCCCTTTTCTTCAACTGGCCATGAATTTTCCTTTCTCCATAGAAACGGTTTGTTACGCGCGCGCCTATCTTTCTAGAGGCGTATCATCTTTGGCTGTTTTCGTGGAGACTCCGATAAGAATCCAATCTCTGGCAACGCTTTGACCTCACACTACTACCATGGAGGTAAACCGCGTCAGGATTGGAACTCTGTAAGTATAACACTCGCGTTTAGCTATCTTGTTAGTTAACCGACGAATGGGGCGTTTCCTGATAGTCTGTCATACGGAGACAAGTTCCGCATGAGTTAGTATGTCAGGGGCGTATAATTATAGCCATGGGGGGGACGCTTTTCTCCGAGTGCCTACGCGAGACTAGCTTACGTTACTCCGGGAGTCAGCAAAGGCAGTTGGGAGTGACGGCAAGGAGACCGCTTTACGCTCTGAGGCCGTCTAAATCGTGTATTTCCATCGACAAGCAGTATAGACGGAGTCGTACGAGTCCGTCTTGCCGGGGGAAGCTATAATAATCCTCATTTTAGTTTCTTTTTTCTTCGAAGAAGCATCGGATACAGTGATCTTCAAGTCGTCGCGGCAAGCTCTCTGCTACAGAGCGAGTTTCTCCCATCGAAGATGCCATTCTTCGGCGGGCGTCTCCGTGGAACACGCACTCGTTTTACGCAATCTGATTGGTGAATTTGAATCTGCCGACGTATAAAATCTGCCTACTTTTACTTCCGGCTTCCTGTTTAAATTACGTGCGCGGTTTCCGGTATAAAATTTTCGCTTTTTCGCTTTACCCACTCATTTCTAAAATCCTGCCTATGCCCCTGTATGTATCCCGGCAACTTCGTGCAATAGGTATTCCGCGTCTGTTATGTCCGTAAAGCTATCAGGCTAACCATAAATAAACCTCGGGTACAAAACTCAGCATTTTTTTATCCCTCTATCTACAGAACGCTGGAACCTTTGATTTGTCATCTTTCGTTACTGGCAATTGGGTTTTTATCATGCACTATGATTGTGAATTTCACGTGTGCTACCGACGAGACGGTGGAGTTGGCGGCATGTGACTACAGGCCTAAAGGGGAAAATTTTACATTAGTTGTCAGATTTTGCCCGAATTTGAACTACACCATTGTTCTTGAATGCAGTGTAACAAACACTTACTCTCTTAAGTGGATACTGAACGATTCTAAAACAGACTTTTATCCCGAGGATTCATGCGAACAAGGACCAAAAATGAACCAAGGATTTAATTTCAGCCTCATCGAAAAGGTCATAGACAATGATACTAACGAGACTGACAATAACTCATACATATCGCAGCTTCGAGTGTCCACTAGTCATCTTAAGATTGTTGTCAACAACTCTAATGAATTCAGTGTGACATGTCAGTCTTCAAACAACACCAAAAGAATGTCATTTATAAAAATTTCAGGTAAGCAGATTTCTTGCAATTGTGGTAGTCATAATTATTATTGTTTAGTCTTTGTATATACTTGGTTTTCTTCAGTAGTTCATAGTTCATCTCAGTCAAGATGACAACACTTGTGCACAGACTACCCAAACACCGAGGGTTTTAACAAAGCGTAGTCTTCCCACGTGTGCCTATATAGGGGTAAAGCATTTATTGTAGGGTATTTGCAAGCCAAACTTAGCCCATTATGGTTGACAACCGCAGAAATTCAGTTGTCCAATAATACACAAAAAACAGTGTCTCAAGTAAAAGTTCCGTTTTCATCAGATTTTCCCCAAAATCATAATTTGAAAATCGCCACTTTTTCTATTACGAGAAAACAAGGCAGCTACATTTCAGCAAATTAGAATTTAGCAAACATTGATTGTTAACTTTGGAAGTCAGGGTTCACAAATTTGTGACTGTGTAATACTACAGGGGTGACAAATGTTTGAACCCTAAAATTTTATTGTGACAAATTTGTGAACTGCATGTTGGCATTGTTCTAAATAGTGGCCATCAATTGAAAGGTTCACAAATTTGTCATCCAGTTGCTCGATTATATTTAACATAAATCTCTTAATTTTGTCTCTAAATCAATACCAAAATGACATGAGCTGAGTATTTCATAAAAATTACAAAAATTCTGAAAATTGGAAACAGAAATTTTGCTTGATAGCTACAAGTGTTTAGTATTATTAAGCTATTAGCCAACAGGAGGGATAAAGGTCACAGGATAACAAACCTAATTTTTACTCCCCACAGAAGGAATAAACCCTCAAATTGTTAGTGCTGAATTTGGAGAAAGTGATGAGATAATTGTTACATGGATATCAGCCAATAATGATCTCACAAGGACCGAAATTGTTGCAGAATACGAAAATGGCACCAAAATGTCTGTTTTTACTGAGTGGTACAAGAGAGAAGGCCAAATTAATGTCACTGAATCTTCAGCTACCTATAATGTTACTGTTATCGAGTACACTATGTGTAACCAAAGTTTTTCCAGTAATACCACGAGGGTAAGCCCATCATCTGCCATAGGTAAATAATTATTATTCTATGTTGCATTGCTAATAATAATATTCTTCTATCTAATAGGGAGCTCACTGGTTCTGGATGCACAGCTGTTCTTACTGGTTCCAGTACTGCTGTTTAGTTACTTGTAGAGCGTATGATTGAGACTGAGTGTATATTATACACTGTGTAACCATGCAAGTATTTCCGGAAGTCGAGTTGCGTGCAACGCTGGCTACGCATGCGCACTTAAGCACTCGCTACGTAACATAAAGAGAAGGCGCACGCGCGCTCATTGCAGTAACTGGGAGACCAGAAAGATGGTTTTGCTCATACAGTTCCTTTTTATGTGTTTCTCATTACAAGGTAAAATCTGTTAGACTAGTTGCTACCTATAAAGACTTTACATGCAGGTGTTCGTTGTGAACAGCCCTCCTTGGAGCCTGGACCTTCTCTGTATGTTTGTCCAGAGGAAACTTCAGTAAAATTCAGTTGTTATGGCAGAGAGATCAATTCAATGGCATGGATAGCAGAGCCCTACGTTCCAGCTAACACCCTATTAGATATGCTTCTGGACACATAGCAACAGGCTCCCACCCTGTTTACAGTAGGGGTTTCTTCGTTGCTAATCTTACAAATCTCCATAGAAGTGGAGCTAGCATACACATAGCAGATCTGACTTCTGAACTTACTGTCATGACTAGTGGGGTAAACAATGGAACGAGTATCACATGTAAGACATACAGAGGTCTTCAGTCATCCCAGAGGTCTACATTCTTTTATCATGCAGGTAAAAGGTTAAGTGAAGTTTCATATTGAGTCAAGTCAGTTTTGACATTATTTTAGGTTTACCTGTTAGCAAAAGTAACTCAATTACATACCAAGAGAAGGAGACTTATTACACAGCAGTACTAAAGCTCGGAGCTATGTTTGATGGAGGAGGAGTTCCAATTGATCACTACATTATTCAAATGGTCAACGGCACACAGTTTGAAACTCAGGCCCCACTTACAGTTTTGACATCATGTACACATACTACACTGTCAGTGAACATCTCAGCCCACAACTGTGCAGGTTATAGCCTGTTTCATGTGCATCAAATAGAGCGTAATGAAGATGGGTATTCAGATGAAGTAAAACCATTTTCAGAAAAGTTCCAACTACATAGTTATGGAATTTCTGAAGATGAAGGTGAGCATTATTTAACACTTATGACAAATTTTTTATGATTTTATGTATAATTATACACAGACCTCACTGGAAACACACAAAAGCCCATCATTACTGTTTCACCTACACTGTTAGGAGCAAATATGCTAAACAGTATGACCAAAGTTGAGTATAATGAAGGTGAGCAGTGAAGATGCAGGAACTTCAAAAATAAGCATATTATTTTACAGATTATGTGCATGTATCTGTGGCAACAACACGCAGGAGTACACAAGTGCCAAAAAGTAAACTAACTCCCAGCAGGATGTCCCTGGTTTTGGCTGTAGTCCCAGTGACGTGTGTTTCAGCACTTTTCATCTTCACAATTACAATCCTGGCAGTTGTGCGCACTAGAAAGAAAGTGGGCACGACCTGCACTAACCGCACTGGTGTAACAAAGCAAGGTGAGTTACCAAAAAACGTATTTTTCCTATATAGCTATATGTATACCTATCCATTACAAAACAGGTGATGACCCTCCAACTCCAGTAGACAGTAATAGTGTGCCCATATATGACACCCCTAGTTGGGACATGGTCTATGGTGGTAAGTCTGGGCAAAACCACACCATGGACCAGGGCTGCTTCATGGAGAAAAACCCAGTGTACCTGATGGCAAAAGACCAAGAAACACGCACATCACAGCATGTTTATGAGGGCCTTTGAAGGAGTCAACTGACATGTAACTCTATACTAACCGCATAGCTACCTATTATTTGTAGCCATTATTTTAGAATTGTGTGTAGTGTAGCTATTATCTCATAAAGCAGATTATCAGTTATTCTGTTAATCCTCCCGTTGACAACCAACATCACTGAACACAAGGCACGTGCACTTTGTCAGCTTACTTGGTTTGTAGTCAGAGGCTAATGAACCTCAACGTTCACAGATGTGCATAGAGCTATTGTCAAATGACCACAAACTAATGAAAGCACACCCAAGAATACAGCACTGAGAGTTTCCCAAAAAATTGTCATGGCACAACAAGCCAATTCTGGGAATGATGGTGGGCAGAGAAAACATGTGTCACTGAAATAAACAGTTTTGGACATATGGTTATGAACCCTCGGCTAACTTTTCAACCTGGCTTTCGTGGAAATGACATCATGCATGACTATGAAAGTGTATATAGCTAAGAGTGAATGTTTACCATGATGGAAAGTGTGAAGGACAACACTCAAAGATTCGTGTCATTCTGAACCTTTGGCAAAAGTCAGCAGAAACACACATGCCAACAAATTTGGACACCTTTGAGTGCTATGGTGCTTTGCTACTGGAGACCCTTGAGTTGTGTGGCAGTGGCGTTGTATATAATTATGCTCTTTTGGAATGAGCCTAGCTCTAAGCCTATAGTCTCACCTGAATGTGACGGACACAGCATATGCTGGGATTCTAAATATACGCGTGGCAGCATTGACTTGGCAAAATACCTGGTCACAGCCCTTCCTTGAAGTGTATTGGCTTGTGGTTTGAGGGTTTTCAACAACACTGCACAAAGCAGTGGCCAGTGGGTTTAGAAGGGTAAAAGCGGAGGTCACCCACCTAATTCCAGTCAATTTGTGTCTGTGCCTCTATAGATCCATAACACAATTGAACACATACTAGCAAATAAAGATATGTGGTATATATCATACACTAATTATCATTCATAGGTGTCTCACAAATTCATGCAAAAATAATTATGTAGGCATGGTTGTGAATGAAGTTTGGACTCATCTGACATGACAACCTTACATCCCTTCTTCCAACATACCTACTTGATTTAATATTGTTTAGAATAGCTGCACTGTACAACATGATTGTCAGGGCATCATAATAATAGGAGGTAGCTACTGAGGTTGTCTAGAGCTCAGGACTGGATTCCCTAATCGACTGAGACGTAGACAGTCTTTACACACACATGACCACACAATTAAGCGTCTTATGACATGATGTCCTGACAAGAATTACTAACAAGTCGTAAAATCATTTATTTAAAATGAAGGGGGTAGGGGGAGACTCCGATGAGCTTATAATCCGGCATTTAGTCTCCTAATATGGACTGCTTATTATCCGGGATTATAAAGAAGACAACCTGGGATAAATCATTCCGTGACACCTACATGTCCGACAACATACTGTCCAAATGCGAAAGAGGGCAAGCCCCCTATTAAAATTATTAGCTCTTTGTCACAGTCAGAGTGCGTGACTCTAGGCCAATGAACATGTTTAGAAGACCCGGACTGGCTTTATAAAGCAGGCTAGCAGTTAATAATTCAGTTACAAGCGGCGTGCCATGTCCACTATTGAGAATAGTGAGATGTAAATTGTTTTTGTTTTCATTATTTGTAAAATCTTAGCCCTTGCATTTTGGTTTTATCTAGCTATGTATAATACAAGCTATAGCTACTGTCTTGAAGATTTGTGGAGAAGAAGAAGCAGAAAACTCTGAAACCATCATGATGAGATGTTCCCCGAAGGCTTCCCCGCAGACTGCAACAGCGCAATCTTGGATGCGCGGATTCTGCACTCTTATAGAATAACTCTTCCACTGCATGATCCCCTGCGGTAACAAAAACCTGTGTTGAGTGAGGTGAGAGAACAACATTGGGGGGAAGCTAGCTAGACAAATAGGTTTCATACTGTTTTGGTCGCTGACTATCCACCATTGTCGAGAACCACAGCCAGAACAACCAGAGAAAGACGGAAAACTGCTTTTCCAGACATCTTAAGTTAAATATTTCTTTGGTCACTCTCCATAACTCGTGCAATAGAAAAACTGAACGAATATAATAATTATTATAGCTACCCTCAATTCAGCTCTATAAAGACGATATAGGTAGCTAAATGACCATGTAGCCAATGAACCCATGTGTTTATCATGTAAGAGTGTGTGGTGAGGAACTGAACTGTGTCCTTCATACTATTAGGACTAGGGCTCACAAAAAATTTACCATGATTGTAATAGCACCATGTGGACAGATTTAGACCATGAAATAGTGGCTGTCCAGGAGAAAACGTGGACCCTTAGTGTACCGACTACCTACCAACAACCCCCTCAAATCCAGAGACCTCCTCTTGTAGGATGAAAGTCAGGCTCACACAAAATTCTTTAATCCAACAATGTAGCTAGCCCATGTGGACAGATTTACAGATGTTGCTACAGTGTCTATACTAATAAACATTGACTCTTAGAATACGATGAAGTACCACATCCACTCAAATCCAGAGATCTCCTGTTGACCACTGAGCCTGTGGTGACTCCTTCCCTCCCCTCATCTGACAGGAGTGGTGCTGAGTCAGGAGGAGGCGAGGTGTCTTCTGGGAAGCTGCGGGCTGCTGTTCATGCAGTACAGGCTGGTGTTGACTGTTACGGAAATGGAGGATGAAGTGAGAACACTAGCATCGTGTATGTCTATCACAACTGTTTAAATTTTCACCCATAGGAGATAAACGAGGACTTGCTGAAGTCATATGGTATGAGTCTGGGTGTCCAAAGGTAATCTTATCTGTTCCTGGATAACAATATATTACTATCTACATTTATGTTAGCTCTACTGAACAAATCCAAGAGAGCAAAGAGTGTGGGAAAGTGGTATGCTTATAGTAACGTTAATCCTCACTGAATGCTTGATCTTGTGGCAGGCTATATACGTCACCACAGGACTCAGTCAGCTAGGCCAAGAAAGTCACAGTCAAGGAAAGAAGCTGAAGACTGCTGTGCATGCAGTTCCAAACATGATGACTGTAACAGAAATTGAGCATGACGTAGAGCGAGCGATCAAAGGTCGCCCACCATCAATGGTCGGACACTTACTCTGGGAATATCAAGGCACTAAGGTAGATCTTGACTACATCAATACAAAGCCTACACATTGACCTGCAACTCCTACAAAAATAGCCGCCGGGCTGCTTCCAAGGCGGAGCGCTAGTCCTACAAAGTCAACGTCCGAAGACTGAAAACATCGGACAAAAATATCACTTGTCGGACGGCTCCGTTTTCTTGCTCTCTTGTACACGCATCAAATCAC